GGAAAGAGAAAACTAATAAAGAACACAACAAAAGAATTCTATGATAAAAGAAGGAAGCAGAGATAGTGAGGTGCTTCAAAATCACCTAAAAGGATTGTCAAAAATGTGTATCTGCTGGCTCCACTCCAAACAGACTCAATTAGAAGCTCTGAGAGTGTGGCCCCAGGAATCTGCATTGCTCAGTTCAAAGAGGTGATTCTTCTGCACATTCTAATGTCATGAAAAACAAAGGAGTTGTTTCAAAGAAAATAAAAACAGCAATAAGAAACTTAAAAATAGAAAAATGAAAATGTCTACAAATGTAAGAGTTGCCCCAAATGTGAGAAAATCCTGCTGATTGTCCTATTGTGCACATAAAAAGATATTGATACACCAAGGATACACCAAGGATGATGAAGCAGAAAGCTGTGAGTCTGGATCCTTGGTGGCTGTGTTCAACATCTGAATCAATCATGCTATCACCTACCTCTGAACTTCTAATGTGAGACTAATAATTCCCTAGTCATTGAAATAAATATGTACATTCTTGTTTGCAGTACATTTATTTAGTAATAAGGGATAAAGAATGAATGCTTGTGAGTAATGATGACAACATTTATGAGCACTTACTACATACACATCAAGCACTGTTAGAGCTTTATACTAATATCTTATCAAAATCTCACAGTAACCCTATGATACACCATAACTTATCATTATCAGTGGGAAGTAAATGAGTTCCACTTATGCAGGTGAAGGATATCAAAGGTAGTAAATATACATTTCATGAATAATAAAAAGATAGGAAAATGGATGTGGTAAACTTGTTAATTCCCAGGGATTTTTCCTGACATTTCTATTGCCTATCTTCTTTTGTATTAATTTAAATCTTATATATCTTCTGTGGCACAAATCAAGTCCAAATTCTCTTTCTCCCTCAATAACATTTAAATATGATCTTTCCCTTTTTGTTTTTTTTGATTCTCTGGAGCTTAGATTTAGGACCATACTCTATGACCTAGATTATACATTTGGGGTAGAAAAAAATATCTTATATCTAGAAGAGTACAGGGTGTTAAATAATTCCTGTCAAATGATGACATCTAACTATTTCCCATTTTTCACCTATAAAATTTCCCAGTATGTGACTTGAAAATTCTTATTTTAGGCTCATCTGTAATCATACTTCATTTAATTCAGCAAATGTAATTAATTTATTACTAATAGATAACAGTTCTCTGCGGTTTCAAGCTAAGTAATATTTCTCTTGACATCTGTCTCTGGTGATCCAGGCTAATGGAAATTTGAGGACACATACAACTACTTTATGAATTACTGAATATTCCTCCTCTCCTGCCTCGCTACACCTGTCAGTTCTCTTTAGCATTCTGCAATGATCCAAACTGACACATTCACATGTATATAGTATGTGTGTATTTGGAGAATTGATATGGCTTTAAAAATATGCTGCTGTTGGCATGTCTATTTTTTCCTATTGCTATATGTATGTGACAGATTCTTAAAGGAATAAAGATCCCAATTTCTCCTTTTACATTTAATTACATTGAAGATTTTAGAAAACCGTCTCTATGAGTTATACATGATTAATTCACGTTTATTGACTTATCATGAGATGTCAATAGTTTAGATTTACTCCACTAAACGGAATGTACTTTAACAATTTGCGAAATATATTATTTTGAATACACAGCCTATCTTCAAACAATGTTTACATACTAAATAGTAACATGCCAAATTTTACATTGTAACTAAAAAGATATTCAGAGTGTTAAAAGAACTTAAGATTGTCTTTTGATAATAAATTGCATTATTATACTGTTATTATGTACTGCTGTATCTTTGGAGCAATTAAATTCATGAGATAAGTGAGGTCTAAGACTAAGAGGGTATGGTTATATCATATCCAGTAGCATCTTTAAATTCAAGTCGTTCCATTTTTTTTTAGGAAATGCTAATTAAGCAATCAAATATTTTCTTGACTTTTACATTGAGAAATATTCCATAAGGAGGATTCAATGCTAAACCTTTGGGGAAAAAGTGAATTTCCTGTTATCTGCACAATTATTTCTATATTGCTTTCAGCCTTTATTTGCTATTAAAGGAATGAAAATGTAAAAATCAAACTACACAGTACGATCACCTTGACTAAGACAGTGAAAGCATATCATTGCATGTGACTCACATTTCATTAAAATACATATAAATATGTTCCGGGATACATATGTATATAATCTCTGTAAATGAAAACTCTATTGAAATCACGTTCTGAAATGAAGATGCTGAGTAATTTTTCATGACACTTTAAAAGCATTTATTTTATTATTTGGAGCTGCAACAAACTCACAAAGTGAACAGATTCTAGTTTAATCTGTTATCCATTTTGCTAGTGTACTATAGCAATGATTCATATATTTAAAAAATTACTTTAATGTCAAATTCTTGATTACAGTAGAATACATAATTCAATTTTTTATTGCAACTTCCTTGGAGGAAAAGTTGGACAGAAGCCAGTGATTCTTGAATGTCTCTAAGCCGTCTTGTAAAGTTAATCTGTTCTGTTAAGTTTTGAAATAGTGTCAGGAAGGGCTATTGTACCACACCAACCAATTCCTTAACAGTGATTAACGAGAAGAAAAACTGTCATTTTGCGCAGTGCTAACTTCGCATATCAAGGGCACAGCTCAAAACGTTGGTAAATGTGTGTCCTGGTAAGATATGTTAATTCATAAGAAATTATTTTCAACAGAATTAACTCGTTTTTTGTTTTAATTAACGCCTACAGCACCTGGTATTCCTAGGTGGTCTCCCAACCAAGTACTAACCAGGCCCGACCCTGCTTAGCTTCTGAGATCACACTAGATCCGCTGCATTGAGGGTGGTATGGCTGTAGTAACTTCGAGTTTTTGCTTTCTAAACTTCCTTTACATATTTTGTTTCTAAGCCTTTAAAAATATTTAAAAATAATGTTACCAGAATGAACATACATAATAAAGTCCTTTGCATCACTTGTATGCTTTTAAGAAAACATTATAAATAATAATTTTTCCAGTCCTGGAGTTAAGAGAAAGGAGACTACAGAATTTATCTTTTTGTTCTGGTTAAGTGGTATGGAAAATAACACCGCAAGGTCTCTAAATGAGCGGCGATGCTTAGTTAAAATAGAGGCGATTAAACGAAGATGGAGCATGGTGTCTTAGGTAGGACACTAATCTTTACACGTGTGTGTGTGTGTGTGTGTGTGTAGGAAAAATCGTCTTATTTTTGAAGTAGATGTCACGACGGCTGGTTTTTTTTTTTTATTAATTTGCAAAATCTCTTTAAGATTGGTGCACGCTACCTTTTATCATCTAAATTCTGTACGTAACCCCATGTTTGTCTTTTCCCCACACGAAAGAAGAGCGATGGTTAAAAATGTTACAAGTTAACTAAAAGAGCCAAAAGCTTGGCATAAGTAGAAAAAGCAAATCCAAAACGAAAGCACGAGGATTTTAAGCACCGGTCCTGATGGGCCTGTTTGCACCCGCGAAACGCCAGAGTTAACCCTTTGAGGGCTGCAGCGGGATCCCGGATAACTGCGGGCCCGATCCTAAAGAACAGAGATGGGGCGCACCTCGCCCGTAGGGAGGGTGTGGGCTCTTTTCCTCAAGGAGGAAGCAAGCTGAGAGGCACTTTTGTTGTCCAGCGCGTGCGTCATGAGCCAGGACGGGCATCGAGTCCGTAGGGAGTGGAGCACAGAAGCGGCGAGAAGCCGCTCAAATGTCCGCCGACGAGTGGTCAGCTTTAACCTGTGGCAGCCAGGAGCGTTCGATCTTCCACGCCCACCAGCCCAGCTCCCAGGCTCTGGAGGGACGCAGGCTGGGGGTGGCTCGGACGGGGCCCCAAGTGGAGGGCGTCCGCCTGCGGCAGTCATCCCGCTCCGGCCTCCACAGTCACAGGAGCCGCCAGGCCCCGCGCCGAAACAGCAGCTGTGACTGACGGAGTCACCGCCCCGCGCGCCCGAGCCACCTCCTCCTCCCCCGCACCCCACCCTCCCTGATACGTCATGGAAACACGGACGTCAGAGCCTCTCAGCCAATCGTAGGCAGCGGCAGTAGGAAAGGAGCTAGCGGGAGGGGCGGGGGCAGCGGCGAGCGAGGAGCGCGGAGAAGGAAGAGAGGGAGGGGCGCGCGGAGGCGTGAGTCCCCCGCCCCTCACTCCCGCCACCCTTTCCCGACCGCGCGACAAGTTCTAATCGTCGGGAGCGCGCTCGCCAGCCGGGGGCGCGCTCGCCGAGTCCTCCCCTTAAACGCCCTCTAAGCGCCGCCGGGCTCCCAGTGCCCGTCCGAGCCGCGCTTCCTCAGCGCCCGACCGCCCCCAGGCTCCCCGCGGGCTGGATCACGTGACCGCGCCCAGCCAAGGCGGCAGCGGCGGCGGCGGCGGCAGTGGCAGCGGGAGCAGCTGCGCCGCC